CCCAGGCGTTAATTTTAAATTTATCGTTGGCATTATCGGCGAAATTTTTCCGTGCCACGGGCGTGGGGAAACATTTCGCATTATCGCGATTACACGGAGGCATAAGTGCTTCCGTCTGAATCGATTTATTGGCCCTTTCGGGTATCGCATTAACCTTTACAGGTATCGTTTCCTTTACAGGCATCAGTCCCTTTTCGGGTATTGTTCCTTTTTCAGGCATCGCTCCCTTCGCGGGTATTATTCCTTTTTCAGGTATCGCTCCCTTTTCGGGCATTGTTTCCCTTGCGGGCATCGTTTCCTTTGCAGGTATTGTGGTTGTAGTTTTTCTCCGTGCCACGGGCGCGGGGAAAACTGGAACCGGTATCGTGGCATCGATCGCAGTCGACGCAACATGTACAATGCTCGGACAATTTGAGTTCGATACGGTTTCCGGCGGAGGTTTACAGTCTCGCGCCAGTTTCATTTTTAATATCGAACTCTCACGAACAATATACTGAAATCGGACCAAGAAATCTTGGCCTAACAGTACTTGTACTGAATCGTTTATCGGTTTGACGTATAAAGAATGGGGTATCGTTCGATCTTTTATCGTAATCATTACGGCGCAGTAGTCGGTAACTGGAAAGCTACGAGCACCACCAACGCCACGAATATCCAGCGGTTTCGATCATGGGAATCGGGGGATTCGATTCACACGTCAGAATTCATCGGAAACAAGCGATGTTTCCGCCCCTGAGTCGATTAATGCGTTAACCTCAGCTCCATCGACACTGACGACATGCATCAGTGCACGAGTTCGCTTCGGTTCGCATGAATTAGGTTTCAGCTGGGAAATCATACAGGTATCGTTATCGTTATTCACATCGGTAATCGCATCGGTAATCGTAAATCCATTAATCGATATATCCGGCGGTTTGGGAGGTACTGGGACAGCAAAGCCGGTGTTTACTGCCCGTTCACGTTTCCCTGGCCGCCGCCAAAGCCGCCCTTGGTACCACCGGCAGAACCGCCGGGGCTCCGAGCGCCTTGGCCGCCACCACCAGAACCACCACCGTTCTGGCCGAACTGCGGTGCCTTATCGTTTGTCCACGAGTTTAATCGACGTCGATTTCCGTTATTTTGTCCCTGATAGTTATCGTTTCGGCTTTGGGAATTTTCCCGGTTTCGGCGAAAGTCACTAGCATAACGGCGGCTGCCGTCAGCGTAGTGATACGCACAATAGATCGGATTCTGATCGCGCGGCACGTCTCGAAATTTACATTCATCGATCGTATGGTTATGGACATCGCAGTTAGTACACAGCTTATTGGAATCGCTGTTACCAGAACCAGAGTTCTGACGACTAGCGAAGCCATCGCGACCACCAAATCCACCTTCATTGTTACTGAAACCGCCTCGATTGTTTCCACCGCTACGGCCGAAGCCGCCGCGATTTCCACCGAAATTACCACCGCGACCACGAGGGGCGCCACGGCCAGGTGACCGTGACCGGCCACCAAAGCCGCCGCCATCATTCGATCTGCCTTTCTGGCTACCACCGACATCCGATCGTGCTTCGTCAGCATCGACCGCATGCACTGCAGCTGTATCGTTCTTCGATCTCTCGTGAGTCTTCCGTGACTTATTATCGATAGGAACTTGGAAGCCGTCTGGATCGCTAGACACCAGATAACAAATATACTGGCGAAGCTGATCGATTGTTTCTGGCTGTTTCGTCATCACTTTATCGTACACTTTCTGATCGGTTTTCAATCCACGCATAACGAACGATACGAAATGTTCCGGATCGCCCTGGAAGTTCGCTCGATCACGTAGTATTTCCATCGTCTGGAGATACTGCTCGAGGGATTCTTGCCCAGGACGATATGATCGATTTGTCAGTTCCGTCAACGCGTTAACTGACTTCTTACTATTTCCAAATCGTTCAACCATCTTCGATAGAAACCCTTCGCTTGTAGTGGGTGCCGACGGCGAGGTCAACAACCCATCGAACCAGGTCAAAGCGTCATCCTTGACAGCGTTAGCCAGGTTGGCGAGTTTCTCCGACTCATCCCAACCGTTTGCTGTTGCTGCCAATCGAAATCGAAGGACGAAACTTTCGACGTTGTCTTTCGATCCACCAAACTTCGTTGGATTAACCGTATTACCCTTAAAGATCTTAGCCGAATCGGCCTTGACCTCGGGCACCGGTTTCACGATTTCTTTTACGATTGTCACTTCCTTTTCGAGTTCGGCGGGGAACGGGCAACTGTTCTCGACCTACCGCTCGCTACTTTATCGATAACTGTTTCCTTATTCGACTGTCGACGGCGATATTCGCCACTTCCGGCTGCTTCGCCGGTACGTTTTTCAACGGCCGGCGAACAACCGCGACTAATTCCGCTACCACATCGTTCGGTTCGCGACGGCTGTCCCCGATGACCGGCAGGCTGTGCCGGACTAACAGGGCGCGATCGCAACTGATTCTCCAAATCCTCACACATCGTTTGCAAGGCATCGTAATCTGCAGCTAACCGATCGAATCTATCCTGAGTTTCATTACGCTCACGACGGTATCGATCTCGATCTTCCATAATCTGCTGCATTTCGGCGTCCTGCTGCATCTTGGCGTGACCGACCAAGAGCAGCTTTCACCCATACTTCTTCACCTTTGCTTCCAATTTTGTCTTCTCATCGACCAGTTCTCGTTGACTGATCACGACTCTATCCTGAAACTTCTGCCTTTCAGCAAGTAATCGAGCAATCGTTCCTTCGTGATCGGTAATCGTATCATCGCGTAACTTCAGAGCAGCTCTAAACGTGGAAATCTCTGCTTGCAGAGTTTTCAGACGCTCTAGAGCCTCGACCAAAATCGATTCATCACCACCATCGGTTTTATCGGCATTTGCACGAATGACTTTTTTTAATTCAGCGATTTCCTGGTGAGCCAACGTTAGCTCGTCCTGTAATTTACCAGCGACTTCGCCCGCTAAACGCAGGTTCTGTGCGTACTCGGTACCAGTCATTGCAGATTTATCGATCGAGAATTTTCCTATTTTCTCGTAGTTTTCAGGCTCGATAGCCGACCGAAAACTCGTTTTGCTTTCGTTCGACGATGGCGATTTTTCTTTTCCGAGCTTAGCAGGTATTTCGCCCATCGTCGGAAGCGGGCTGCGTCGTACAACCGTGCTTCTTTTGAAAGGCGTTCGCAAATCGACCGCAGTGGTGTTGTGGAGAGTGAGTTCGCCCTCACTGTCCACTACACCAAGCGCATACGGATCGCTATAGTCTTCATTTCCCATCAGAATCGAATCGATAGACATTTCACTTGATCGCGAATCGTTCCGGTTTCCATCAGCTACTGATGAATTATCGTTCCTCTCGTTATCGACCATATCAGCGATTCTTGACGTTGACGCCGGGCGGTCACCGTCAATCGCTTCTAGAATTACTGCCGATTTTTCAGGGAGCGAGCTGGGCTCAGTGGTTTCCCGTGCAGGGACTTCCGACTGAACCTGTCGATGCTTCGTCCCATATCGAGTGTTTACCGCATGAGTTACTGGAGGAGGGGGAACTACTACCTTCGCTTTCGTCCCTTTTTTAACTGCTGGCTTCGGTTTAACTGTCTGCGTATTCATCGATTCATTATCCTGATTTATCGCGTTATTCGATTTACTACGAGGAGAGAGGTTCTGTGCTATATTTTGCACCGTATCTACAATCGACGAAATGAATCCTTTTCTCTGCTGTCCTGTTGGCGATCTGATCATTCTCGAATCGATATTATTAAAAGCAACCTCAAAATCAATCGCATAACTCAGTCGATAATAATTCGAATTAAATTCACGATTAATTTTCAAATAATTTCTCACAACTTCACTGCATCTCGTTCACACACTCGACATCGTTTTAATCATCACACGTAATTAGTCGCTCAACTAATCTCATTTTTCAACGAAATTAATGATCGAGAATTTTTCAAAAAGGTCAAAATCACGATATCACTGAATCAACACAGAAAATCAAGAAATAAACGCACGAACGTCGAACAATCGCAACGGGGCAAAAGTTCAAACCAGGCATCGACACGATCAACGACATCCGAAATTTTCGATTTTTACAGTATTATTATCGTATCCGTTATCATCGATTTCCTCTTCCGATAAAGATCTATACTTGCTTTTGCAAGCAGAACTTACCAGAAAAGATCCAGGGGTCGTCAAAACGTGAAGAAACTCGTCCGTGCTTCACAAATCCGTAGGTTCTTCAATATCCACCACGCGCTTCCTCAGGACTCAACCGTCGATCGCAGGGCTTGTTGGGCGTCCTCCGATCCACAGGAATTCAGGAAAATCGTTCGGGTGGGCTGGGTATGGGGGAATAGCGTCGCTGATCCGGAGACACAGCAACAAGTTGAATCGGGAAACTGGGATCGGCTGAATACGGCGGTGTCGGTGAATTTCTTCGCTCCAACACGCTGTCGTACAGGGATCCACTAGGAATTACCGTTTGCGCCTAATTGTCGACACCAACAGATTGAAAAACACAAAGTAATCGTAACACTCGCTCTTCAGAAATAGAAAACTCGGCGCATCCGCTCAAACCACGCTTCTCCTTATAGATCGTAATATCAGTACAGGGTCGTTACACGACTCGCATCTCCACCATGAAAGGATGGCTGATTTGAGCGACACGTTTGTACGTGAGCGAGAATCGGGATCGGAAATGCAACCAAATGAGATCGAATAAAATCGTATTTTATTAGATCGTAAACCAAAACACCAATCATCAGTGAAAAGACAAGACAGAAAAACACCGAAGTGAAAATCTAGAGATCTTTCACTGAGGCCAAAAACATCGTAATGAATCGGTGGAATCCGATGAATGGAGATCGCTGCACAAGAGCGGCTCGGCAGCTCCGAATCGGCGGTCCAATCCGAGACCGACATGAGCTCAGAGCCGAACGCTCTGGCAGTACCGACGCTTTCGTGCGGATTCAATGCGGCTAAATTCATTGCATATACTTTGTTGACGTTGCAGTGAGTACATTACACGGTTGAATCGACTTCGAAATGGAAAAATTGAGATGCGGCTTTATAATTTTGTGGTTTCTTTTCAACATGGACGGTAAGAAGACATGCAAGTTTGCAGCGGCGGAAACAGTTTTACGTTTTTATACGTAATACGCTCATCATCATATTTATTATACAATTTGATCAGGTCTTTTAATGAAATTGTCTTTACGAATAAAACTGTCTGATTTTATGAAAATCTTGCTAGGTGGGCTAGCTGACTCCAGCTTTAAGAATTCAACAGCATTAAGCGATGTAATTCCTCCAGCAGCAGCATATCCTTTTCGGACAGACTTAATTACAGTTGAAGAATGCAGTCTTTATGTGCAATATTCAGTGGAAAGATTCATATGTGCAGATAGGCAGGTTCTTGGTTATTTGTGCAACGTAACTGATAAAAATCCTCGCAAGGCTCAGATGCTCAACACATACCTGGATGTGTCCTGTATTTACCGGTCGCATGCACTGGTAGCTAATACCACTAAGCATGTGCGGCAAATCAGCCCGCATCGCGCTGTTCTGTTGAATTTGTTTGAGTGGGATGCAGAACAGGATCCAGTTACCGTGGATGTAGTGGAACCCATTCGTAATCAAACCGTACACCTTGCTGTTCACGACTGTCGATCGCCGAATACGACCGCCAAAGTATACGCACTGGGTTTGCTGCCCAGTCTGTACAGTTTCGCGCTCGACGCCTGCCCCAACGTGACGATCCAAAAGACGCATTTCAGTGGAATGCCGCAACTACGGATAATCTGGTTTTATGTAACCACAATCAGCTCGCTGGAGCCGGGCACCTTCACAGATTTGATTCATCTGCGTAGCCTGACACTGGAGAAACATTATATCAAGGTGTTAATAAATCAAAACAATCCTAATCCGGCTTACATTAAATTTTCAACTGACGGAAATCTTCACTATTTGTACGATTTGCACTGCGGCTGCTCGTTCGCCTGGTTGCGCAGCTTCCTAAAGCAGAAACCGTACTTGATTGGAGAAAAGGACCCAGGTGAAGTATTCATAATCGGAAACTATATATCACCAGCTGTTGAAAGGAGTGGGAATAAGACGGATATCTTTAGCGTAGACTGTTCCAGAAACGTGACCTTGGACAATATTTGGGCAGGCAATGAATTCTCGTACAAAACAAATTGCTCTACTGAGACCTGTTAAATTAATTATGTACTCGTAATTGTGCATTTTTTGAAAGCTTGTTTGTTAAAAGCTGGTGCGAGGAAACCCTTTTCCTGACCAGAGAAAATCGAAATGTACGGTTAACAACAGTAGCCCACGTGGTATAGCTGTCAGAAAGACCAAGCGTGGGATCCACAAGAACCGCAATCACATTTTATGACCGCACACGAACTATATCCGTACGTCTAAACACAAGAACGCTTAGAAAAGACTGTAATGGAAGATCTGAATTAAACTACAATTAAAGTTTTCCTGTTCCACGTTCGGGTTGCGGCATAACATGTAAGAGCGCTTCCATGATTGTAAAGCCGGTTTCCAAACGTGTTTTCCGGCAAATCAACGCTGGATTGCTATAAACCGCTGTCATTTGCACTGGGCCGAGTTGTCACGTTTTCGTAGCGCAAGCGTTCTTCTTTGCAAGGTGATCAACAACAGACACTGGCGACAGCGGCTCTGCAGCAAAAACCAATCCCGAAAATTCGTAAAAACTGATTTTCCGGGTGATTAGTAATAGTACGACCATGGCCTTCGAAGGAAAAAATGTCCCGTGAAGAAGGCAACTGGTTTCTCGGCTAATGATACCAAAAACCCACTTTATTATGTCGATGTTAATATCAGTTTTCGAGTTTGAGATGATGCTTGCTGTTACGACAGTCGCATTTCTGCTACAATAAGGCCTTTGTTTGCAACGAATCATCTTGGAGATCAAGCTGTACTTCTGAACTGAAGTATACAGAAGGAAGAAAATTTTTACATGGGATACTGCGAGAATACTGTGGACTTTACTTATCAAGTACAGCAACTAAAGTAGGTGAAAACGAAAAGCTAACAGGTGCAGAAAGCGGCGGCATGCCCTTTCAAATATGGTGGCGGCAATTCAAACGAGATTCGGAAAACGCATGACAATGTATTCTGGTAGGGCGGAATGAGCACCTTATGTTCACGTTTAATTCGAAAGGACAGCAAGTTCAAACTGAAATACGTACTTCTTGCTGCATTTTTGAAAAATAATGCAGTTATTTCAGCAACATACAGTACATACTTGTAAGAATCTTTATCAGCGAAAATAAACCGTATTCCATTAATCTGTGCTATTTTTCGAAAAAAGTTTAGTTGTAAAAGTGCGTATAACTCAAAAGTCAAAACGTATTGTTAAATTTACAAATACCGGTAGGTGCGCAATGCTGAAATGAACCCCTGCATAGTGCATACATTTTTTCTAACCGCTTCACGGTTTCTAACTTTATGAGCACCAAACAATTCACTCTTTATAAAGAGTGAATTGTTTGGTGCTCATAAAGTTAGGTAATGGTGCAGTAAAGATAAAGTAATTACTTTATCTTTACTGCACCATTACCGCATCGGCCGGGCTTTATTAGCTCATCTGTGATAGGAATTTAAAAATTATATAAGGTTTCCACCCAAATTACTTACTCTTTACATCACGCTGTTTCTTGAAGTTTCGGTTACAGGCTTTGTTTCCAAAAACAGCACCAGCAGTGCGTACGTATGTGCTACGGGTATTATACTGTACACGACCTGTTCATACTCATTTCGTGCATTCTTCTGTACAGTCAAATAATTTTCGTGGCAACTTTTGCAGACGGTTTAGCTAACCGGATGTTTAGTATTATCCGTTGTATGTATGTGAAATTGATTAACCTTTTTCGCAAACTGCAGCTCCAGGCCAGATCATGGTATCAATTAAGCTGTACCATGATCGATGAATCAGCGCATCAACGCTTTCGCGCGGATTCAATGCAGATAATTTCATTGCTGTAATTTTGCTGACGTTGCAATGAGTACATTACACGGTTGAATCGACTTAAAAACCCCAGAAAACTCGTTAGAATCGACTTCGAAATGGAAGAACTGAGATGCGGTTTTATAATGTTGTGGTTTATTTCCAACATAGACGGTAAGAAATGCAAGTTTGCAGCGACGGAAACAGTTGGATGTTTTTATACGTGAGACGTTCATCATCATATTTACTAAAAATTTGATCAACTCTTTTAATAAAAACTGTCTTTTACGAATACAACTGTCTGATTATCTGTCTGACTTCATGATATCTTGCTAGGTGGGTTAGCTGGCTCCATCTTTAAGAATTCAACAGAATTAAGCGATGTAATTCCTCCAGTAGCAGCAGCATATCCTTTTCGGGCAGACCTAATTACAGTTAAAGAATGCACTCTTTATGTGGAATATTTAGTGGAGGGATTCATATGTGCAGATATGCAAGTTCTTGGTTATTTGTGCAACGGAAATGATAAAAATCCTCGCAAGGCTCTGAAGCTCAACACATACCTGGATGTATCGTGTATGTACCGTTCGCACGCGCTGGTAGCTAATACTACCAAGCATGTGGGGCAAATCAGCCCGCATCGCGCCGTCCTGCTGAGTCTGTTTGAGTTGGAGGCAGAGCAGGATCCGGTTACCGCCGATGTAGTCGAACCCATCCGTGACCAAACCGTACACCTCGCTGTTAAGGATTGTCGATCGACGAATACAACCGCCAAAGTGCATGCACTGGGTGTATTACCGAATCTGTACAGTTTTGCGCTCGGATATTGTTTCAACTTGACAATCCAGAAAAAGCATTTCGGCAGAATGCCGCAACTACGAATGGTCGCGTTTTGCTTAACCACAATCAGCTCCCTGGAGCCGGGTACCTTCACGGATTTGATCCATCTTCGTAGCCTGACACTGGAGCGATATTTCATCAGGGCGCTATGGAATAAATATGATCCTCAGCCCGCCTACAGTAGATTTACAACCGATGACTACCTCCATTATTTGTACGATGTGCATTGCGACTGCTCGTATGCCTGGCTGCGCAGCTTCTTGAAGCAGAAACCGTACTTGACAGAAGAAAAGGATCCCGGTGAAATGTTCATAATCGGAAACTACTTATCACCAGCTATTGCAAGAAAAGGGAATAAGACGGATGTCTTCAGCGTTGACTGTTCCAGAAATGTGACCTTGAACAACATTTGGGCAGGCAGTGAATTTTCCTACAATACAACTTGCTCTACCGAGAGCTGGTCATTTGTTACCTAATTTTGCACTTCCCAGATTTCAATTTTTGGCGTATAAATCCTGCATGTCGCATATTAGTGATGGCTCACATACTATCCCACATAACAGTGCATAGCGTGGCAACAAATAAATGTAAATAAAAGCTAGTTAATCATGGAGGAAAAGTTTACGCTCGATGCATGGCAAATAACTAAATAAGTACTTCAAGTGTCCTGGATTTTCAAAATGATAGCTTTATCTTTGATATCGACAAGAAAAGCGTCAACTGGTCAGGCGAATTTGGCGTCGAATGGACGTTAGAGATATCAAGGCGCGTGATAACTGGAAGAGGAGGCAGGGAAGGAGAACCATGCAGCGGGCAGTGCGTACTCTAATCTCAAAGAAAAAGCTTATCGCTGGCAAATGTTCATTAGATCGACATGGCATCATATACGGGCTGTTGTATAACCAGTCCTGTGATTCTGAGGTGCAGGCTGGTGCAGCGTAATAAATGGTGAACTCTTGTGTGAACTCTTGTGTTTTGGGATTCCAAATAAAAACTTAGTGACGGTTTACTAAACCTTCTGTCATACGTATTAGACAGATTAACCCATTTTCGGAACGTTTATGTCCCGGTACAAAGGCCCGTGCTCAAGCTCGGACTTGGACTCGGACTACTAAGACTCGGACTTGGACCACAATTTACTCGGACTTGGACTGCTAAAACTTGGGCTTGGACTCTTCAACTTGGACTTTTAACTTGGACTTTTAGAACTCGGACTTCTAAACTTCAACTTGGACTTTTTTTAGGTCTCTTAGGTTTCTTAGGTTTCTTAGGTTTCTTAGGTTTCTTAGGTCTCTTAGGTTTCTTAGGTTTCTTAGTTTTCTTGGTTTTTTTAATTTTCGTTGGTTTCTTAGGTTCTTTTTCTTACTATTTTTTTCTAAGGAGAAGTCCAAGTTAGAAATCCAAGTCCAAGTTAAGAAGTTCAATATAGAAGTCCAAGTTATGTAGTCCAAGTGTTGTCCAAGTCCAAGTTTTAGTAGTCCAAATCCGAGTCCAAGTCCGAACTTGAGCGCGGGCCCGGTACAAATCGGCAACACCTCTACAGTACTACGTAACATGCTGCGCACTATGTACAGTACATGCTTTGCAGACAAATAAAGCCTGAGGTGTTTCAAGATTGTGACAGAAAACGGCGAGGTATTGTCAGCATCCAGCAAACAACCGGCAGGCAGTTCAAACGGAACGCACATATCTGCTGTCGTTCTTACGGCACTACGGTATAAACGTACAATAGAGATATATTACGTAACACAATACTAAGGTGCGCGAAATGTCGGTTTGAACTTGGTTTTGACTGGGATTAACCCTAAACGGTGCTGTTGGCTTCTGTGATTCTGCCCGACAAATGCTGCTTCTGGCATCCTTGGTGTTCACTCTTCCGAGATTGACCAAAGAAAGCGTACTCCCACCGAGTCAGTTCTATATTTTCTGCAAAGAATAAACGTTTTTTGCGTGTTTGAATTCGTTGCTTTAAATACAGTATATACTGGAATCTTATTGCTTCGCGCTGGCGTAAAACAATTAAATCCCTCTTTTATGCAGTGAAGTATCAGATTCTGGCTTTGCAAGCTTATGACTTTGCAGAAAGATGTACATACTGTATGTACCAAATACGACAATGAAGTTGACCCAGTTGAGCAATATAAGAGAAATCACTTATAATGATGTCAAAATCTCTATTTGAAGATTGGCGAGACTTCCTGGATCCCCTTTTATTAACCAAAAATGTTAATGATCAAGACAATCGCTACAGCCGACGCCTGTTTGAAGGAGACATTGTTGGCTTAGACAGCGTCAGCGCAGTAAGATTGCTTCGTCAAAAACTTAATATACAGTACTGCTGCTTTTTGTAATACAGAGTCACCATACAGTCTTTCTGAGTAAAACTGTGTGATCGTCGTAACCTTTGCAACAGCTACGGCTTTTGTCAGGATGATCGGAAAGAAGCTAATGATGTTCCTGGGGAACGAAGTATCTGGCCGAACAACACCATACCTTACAAGCTGTCATGTCAACTAAGTAAGATTCTGATACGCAGCTGAAGATTGTGTAGACTACAGAGTGTGAAGTTGATATCAGAAACTGTGAACAGCGGGCAATATCATACTGGACTCCATGGACGTTATTAGCCGGCTCACCGGGAACTGCGTTAAATTCAACGCTTTCGCCATAGACCGCACTATACCGACCATACTTCCGAAAGTGGAGGGCACCAAGATGGGTCAAAACGAGAATCTGAGTCCACTAGAAGTGGCACGCATTCACAAGCGGTTCCGGTGCAGCACAGTGGCAAAAGTCAGGAGTCTACTTGGTTAGCCACGACCTTCAAAGGAATCTCAAATTAAATAAATCTTAAAATTTCTAGAAAAGACCTGTTAAAGAATCTGCTAAAATCATCCCTCTTCTCCAGAAAATACCGAAGCCAGTACAACCGGGGCAAACGTCCCAGTAATCCAAAACGATGTTCTTGGGTGTGACCTTTCGCGCGACCCACCGTGTCCACTGCAGAAAGCCGTCACACCGTTTCCTAAATCGCCGGACGATGATGCAGTCTACGTTGTTCCTTACATTCTGGAAACTAGTGGTACGTCCACTTTTTTTCTTCCATGGTACATGTACACATCATGTACATTAAGCCTAAAAATCGGTTGACAAAGTACCGTCGCACAGCTATTCGTTTATTGACCACGCAATTCACATGAGCAGATAGAATAATAGAAATACGAATTCTCTGACGATTTCTGTATAGCTTAACATTATGGTGAAATTTGAGTGGAAATTCAGCTCAAATGCCAACCAGTGTTTGCCATCCGTCGTAAAATGTACACCGAAATTTACGCTTATTCTCTATATTGTCTGTAGTACCACAGGATACAGTGCCACTGATTCAGCACGCTCTGGGTGATATTGAGAAGTCTCTCGATGGATGTGCCGTCTTCAGGGGTGTGGACGCTGCAGAGGCCGACGCCAGCGAAGCGGGAGCATTGAAGAACATAATACACATTCAAGGCGGTGCATACTGTGCTGCTCAGTTCAGAGAAAACAGCGCCGGCGATGGCATTATTATTTTAAGTGTCGCTTGCGTCCAAAAACAGTCTAGCAGTACTATCCAACGGTTGTTCATGCTAGCCATCGGCTTACCGCATGAACATGTGCGCAGCGATCGAGACGATTACATCGAAATTCATTGGGAAAACATCGTTCCAGGTGTGTACTCCTTGCACGACATAGCGTGTAGCAGAAGGTTACGATTAATTTTATGTACGAGATAATTCTGTTTATAATGTTGTATCATTAGCACATTTGAAAGATGAATTCATGACAAAAAACCGCACTAAGAAAAATGGTTTGTGATTAAGACCTGTTCTGGTGATTCTGGCTGTAGGACGGTCCGATGACTTCAGGCGGAACAAACTTCCAAGCTTAGACACTGGCCCGTACGATTATTATTCGCTGTTGCATCCCGGTCCCAGTTTCTTGGCTAACGACGCAGCACATCCCACGCTGAGTGCAAAATCTGCGACGAACATTGGCCCTGGGGACCGGCTGAGTGACGGCGATGTTAAGAAGCTTAGGAGACTAATCTGTGGAGGTACGAATAAACTCGAGATTTCTTCCATGATTAACAACGCTGCTACAGATATCCTTTAAACGGCTATATTAATATCCACTGTACATAGATCAGGTTGATACGTTGCAATCTGGAACCTGTTCTGTAATAGCTTCGACAACAGCCCCGTCTTCTTCGACTTCGCAAGTATCAGCAGGTACGTAAGCGGCATTTGAGTTCCGGCGACTGACCTACACGCTTGAGAAGTACACGTACTTACAATTTACGACAAAAAAGTGGATCTGTCCATACATGTATTATTGTTTATTAATCCGCAAACGAGCAATTCTTTTCACAGCCGTTTTTTAGCTTCGTCTACAAAGTATAACCATCCGCTGATCTGTACTCGTATAACAACGTTGTACGATAGAAAAATACGAGTATACTTTGATAGAGAACTTTTCTTCATGTTTTTGCGCCGTTGCGCCTTATGTTATAAAGGCGCAGAACCATCTTATTGTCATCTTTGTACTCGTATATTATATTTTTTCATCGCTCATCAACACATGGACAATCTGCGAGTTTAGTCGAGCGAAGGGTTTCCCACACCGATTAACGGCGGACGTGATGTGCACAAAGGATCGTGCCTCTTTGCGTGGGTTGACTATATGAGCGACTGCAATGAAGACTGCAAGCGGAATTGGGCTTCAAAGGAGGACATTGTGGAAGTTTATTTAATATTAACTGCTGGTGCGAGCAAATTATTTTTCCGCCCGAATGAAAAGCCTTTACAATTTCTGTCATACAATTTCTGTCATGAATAGGATCGGCACGCCGATCAGATTATCGCACGATGTCCGACGAAAGTACTATCCATAAGTGCCCATCGCTGAATTATCTCATTAAAAATGCACCTGCCGGTGTGCTTTGCTGATATTGTTTCAAAGTTCAAGCCATTTTAAATTTTCAACGTGGCCTACATGCATTTCGTACAACAGTTATGACCTTTTGGATAATTCTGCAGACAGGAGACGTACGTAGCAAGCAGCAGCTATTGATTCAATGTGTTTGGCCGATAGTCTTCTCGGTACCGTTCACACTAAATGCTAATTATGTAAATTAATTCTATTGTGTTATTTTGCAGGGTAAAAACTTGTGTGCAGAAACATTAAAATGTTGTAGTATTACACTGTATTTGCACTCATTCATTCGTGCAGCGGAAAATCACATAAAAAGAGCTACTGTAGTTAACGTAATAAGATTTTTGGTTTGTGTTACTGCTACTAGAGGTCATACATGGAAAACAATACCTAACGGTTATTATCACTGGCATCGCATTACTCGTTTGATTATCGAGCTTACTGCTCAGAAGGAATCATGCCGATGAAGAACGTATCGTTTACTTGGTAACTACTAACTAGTGTTGTTACGATCAACTTCAGACAAATGTAATACACGTAATCAAGTAGCGAAGCTTTTCCTTGTTTTTGAAATACAGTATTGGTGGTCGGTACCACTATCACGGCTATAATAAGGGTTAAAAGTGCTTTCCTACGCGTAACTATGAAAAACAGGCGCTACTGTAACCACCCTGGTAACTGCGCAAGAATTACATAGCATGCAAGTTTACGTCAAAACATAGCGTTAATTGAGCAAACAAACAAATCACAAAAATGAAGGAAATCCGTTCGTTCGTGCAAACAAGTAGCAATTTTTTAATGGTGCATGAAAAGATCAGCGAGGTATATTAATCGAACTCCAAAAGCGCTTCCTCTTCGGCACTCTGCGCAATCGCTGTAGCATAGCTGGGCGGGGCCACACCGTGCCGTGCGCTGTACAGTCGGTTTTCGAAGGCTGCCACTGGTACAAAACCGGCGGGGCGATTTATCGGGCCATGGAGAGGTTCGCCCGCGTAATGCACACTTTCGTACGCATGGTACGTCGGATCTTCCTGGCGTTTTTCCGGCAGATCCACAACGGTGCCGTTAAGGGGAATTCTCGGCAGCGGTTCTACAGAAACATTTACTGTCCACAAAAATATTTAAGACTGGTTTGTGGAGTTAGAGGAAAACGTTTCATACGGTTGTTAATGTGCGATGGGTCGCTGAAGTACGCAGGATTCTCGACAGGATGGGCATCGTCAAAATGGTGGATCACGCCGTTCCCGCCACCCGCTGAACTAGTGAAACCCACACTGAGGGTTTCCCGTTGGGATTTGGGTGCACGTCGACAGCGGATAATAAGTGCCACCACAATTATTAGCAATACGACGCCGCCAGCAACCAGTCCAATCAGAAGGATCGTTTGGGTGTCCATCGTCTATAGAAAAAAAATTCAGATTCTGCATGAATCAGGCTGACTAATTATAACTTTTTGCAATTCATCAAAATAATCGACACAAAATTCTTAAAAAAATTTATCCAATCAAAAAGCAAAAGACTAATAACTTTATTAATTTAATTAATTCAGCATCGCTTTACTTTAGTATTTTTTATTATCAATTTAAAGTAGAAGAACGATAATGGAAATTTGCGTAGCAAAACCGGCAAAATTCGACCTCCCGATATGACGCTTTAGTAATAACTGCGTGATAATTTGGATCGTACCGATGACCGATTGGCGCTTTGCGATTGCGGAGCAGCGAGACTGCTTGCGACTTCCGCTTCAGAAGCCGAAAAAGCTGCAACACATTCACTCCCAGCGTATCCTGGGAGGCAAATACAGCGCTCTCCCAGTTCCTCCGCACACACCCATTTATCCCTGTTTGCACACTTCTCGTGGCAGTCGGGCTTGTCGCCTTGCAAGATACAGCAGACAGAGCAAGTGGGTCCTCCTAACTGCACCGCATCCGGACGGCACATGCATGTACCGTCAAATGGATGACAGCTGAAAGCAAAAAAATCTAACAATTTTAAGAAACTTTCAATTAAAGAACCGTGACCTTTTACGCGTACATGGTATGGTTGCTGCATGCGCAGGTGTTGTTGCAGAATTTGCCAAACAGTCCCTCAGGGCATGCTGTAAACGTGAACATTTGGTAAATGAATCGAAGAATCAAACACACATAAGCAGTGACAATGTAAATTCCGTTCACTTACCACGCTGATCACATCTCTCTCCAGAATACCCGTAATTACACCGGCATGTTCCGTTGAAAGGATCGCACGAGACCGCATTGGCACACTGGCATTTCTTCTGACAGTCCGGTCCGTAATGTCCAGGTTCACACTGTTTCTCACATTGGACGCCAGTATACCCGGCGGGACACCGGCATTTGCCGCTGACTGCATCACACTTTCCACCGTTGTAACATGGCCAACAGGAGAAACCGCAGTCGGCGCCGTAGAAACCGTCGTCACACGGACGAGCACACACTTCGCCCTGCAAAACACAACACCAAACCGTGGTTATTTGTTTGCAACCCCCTGTTTGTCCACACTTTTAGCAAAAGATTTATTCGGTTAAGAGAACCTGCGCAGGATACAACAAGGACAATAAACACATATACTGTATATGAAAGCGTAAAACGTAAAAGCACAGCGTAAAAGATGTAATATTAAGACTTGCGAGCCAGTTTCTCGTATCACGCAGACAAAGTGCATGTTAGATGTTTATTTTTCTGTTCCCCAAGTTTGTTCATTCTTGCAGCAAATGATTTATTATTTGAAGAAAAGTCTATGAAAAAACTGAAATAGACGACATGCATAAAAGCGTAAAAGCGGAACGTAAAAGCAAAGCTTAAAAGTGAACCGGCTTCTCGTACCGTCCATCCCGCTGAACAGGAGCATTTCTCCGTTCCGGGTCGACAGAAACCGCCATTCTGACACCGATCACAGGTGGTATCGCGGCGTTCCTCGACGGGACATGGTCTCTCGCACAATGCTCCACAAAATCTGTTGCGACACAGACAGGCTCCCGTTTCCTTATGACACACCCCGGCGTTTTGGCAGCGACACGCCTGCGCGCACATCTTGCCGTATCGACCAAACGGACAGGGTTGATCGCAGTGCAGACCCTGCCATCCATCGGGGCAGTTGCACTGGCCATTCGCCGGGTCACATGTGGCGTTGTGTCGACACTGGCACGTGTTCTGACATTGTGCGCCCCATTGGCCATTCGGACACGCTATGTTTAAACAGAACGCGATTTGGCTAGCGCTTAGTCTTGAGAAACGTTTTACGGCAATCTGCTTTCGGTTTCTCAATTCAGTAAAGCCTAGGAACATTTTCGAAAGTCTTTAGCGATAAAAATGTTTTTAAATCAAAATCTTCTTGTAATTCATATTAGTTTACATTGGAATGGCTTCATATATGATTAGAGTATGAAGCGACGCACTTTGATTGCAGGTATCACCGGAGAATCCGTCCCGGCACTGGCAACTGTTCGGTGCGACGCATTGCCCGTTAACACACGCTTTTGAACATAAAGCTGCAAAAAGAATTACATGAATAATTTGCACAGAAAAAAGAAAAATTAACATTGACATCGTAGATAGTTAATACAGGTAATTTATACATTATATTAGTATTATATTAATACAGGTAATTTATATATCTATATAGTTAATACAGGTAACACCAATATTTTCGTAATTTTCTTTAAGTACTTACGTGTGCAGGTACCGTTCTGCTGCACATATCCGCCGCAGCACTTCTTGATCATCTTGGTGACATTACGCGTCTTATTGGTGTATTCGATTCGGGTTTCGGTTTTGTACGCCGTACATGTGGGCGGAATGCTCATACACCAGGTCTTGTATGCCACTTGGACCTTTTTCGCAGTGGCTACTGTCTCCGTTTCCGGTACACTGATAAGGGGAAAACGCTTGAAAATGTATGAAACCATTCAAATCTCATCAGTTCGGATCACTTTTAGCAGTGTGACCGCGAAGGCTATGTTGTTGTTATGTTGGTGGCTAGTGTAGAATAAAAAAATAAATCTCTTTATAAAGCTTAAAGGAAATCGGAAACAAGCTAATGTGTTTTTGGGAACTGTGTAAACTGGACGGTAAAATACATTTTGTTGATAACTTTGTGCCAGCGTTCTACGATCATGCTTCAAAATACAATAAACGGCTGACACTGCCAGAACTACCTATTAGACGCCGCAGATTAATGCAGTTGCGTCAGTTTGTAAGATTGCTTTTATAAGGTATAATAACGTAATATTATTATTATTCCACTTTGTTATGATAATACTTTAACCCATGTTACTCATCCCAGTAGAATTGTCAATATACTTTTATAATTTATAAGATATATGTATATACTGCAGTCGAAACGTTCTTTATTAAGGCATTACGAAATCGACATCTACTCGCAATATGAATGACAACGCAGAAGATCTTACTTGCGCAAAAAAGTACAGGTACGTACTCGTCTTACCTGTATATATATAAATATGCACAAAGTTACGGGTAAGGCTTTTTGCATGATTGCTGTTTTTGTTGGTAAAAACTGTTTTTTTTTAGTATGTAACTATCGGTTTATTGGGAGTTAAACCGATAATTCATGTCAATATAATTTCATGTTAATACAAGTTCCGCATTGCTAATTTTAGCTAGAGCATAGTGTTAACGTGAATATAATTAACGCGCTACATAACCATACATTTCCTGTACTTCGCAGATATTGGAACCTTCCAGACTCCGGCGAGAATAGTGACCGGCGACACCGCTCCACAAGCAGAATCCCATCCAATACAACACCGAAAATCGCATTTTTGTATCCGTAATATCAATTTTCGGTACAAAAAAACGCCTCCGCTCACTCTTTATTATGCATAAAATTATAAAAATCAGAGCTACACTTGGCAAACAGATATAACGATTTGGCAGATCCGTATTATCGAATAAGATTAGGAAATGATTTGTAGTACTATTGCCCCTGTGGCATTACCGAAATTAGCATAAATTGTTAGATTTTTTGTTTTGAAAATTAACTGATATGCATGCTGTTTAAACGGCTTTGGCACAGGGTTGCTGGTTTTTAAAAAGCACGATCAAAATGGTTTTGTTACTGATAACACTACTGGTAAAATCACGAGGAAAATCATTCCAAACAAGGCAATTTTGCAAAATTCCCGATGTATCACGGAATACGGACAGCATGACCGAATATCCTATATACCGGCTAACCGACGTTAGAAATGAACCCAACCGGCAACCACTACCATGGCACACTCGCCACAACCCTTTCTATTTCCGCCGTGAATAATTCATCGGCATGCAGATCAAGATTATGATTCGGTGATGCCCAAAATTCTTCATGTGCATTGTTGCCTTATCTCACCAAAAACACACGCGCTGTTCCGCTTTTCTAATTATTTATCACATTTAAATGATTCTTACACGATGTATTTGCCACACGGCACAGACATTTCAGAATTTGCAAAAAAGCTCAACTATTTTGAAGTTTTCTCTTTGGTAAAGATTTTATGGAGTGGTGCAATAAAGCTTAAAATTCAATTTCCACTACACTACAATTTTAACTACGAGTATCAAGTAATGTACCAGAGCTTGTGGTGATTGTTATTTAGGTGGCTACCGCCAATTAAATTTGTTTTATGAACTATGGCATTTTATTGAACATTTAGTCACATTCAGCATATCAGCGCGTTGTGCACTTTAAACCTTTTAGTTCGTCCTCGTTTTTTTGTTTGTACGTGCCGGTAAAAAGTTTTTATAAAAAAACAATATAGTTTAATAAATAGAATTTAGAACAAGGAACCATAAATCATGTTAAATCATTTTAAAATCATTATTTTACTTAATCATGAAATTAAGTCATTGTTATTAGTGTGACCGCAGCTGCGGATGTATATCAGTTTGATGATACATAGTAAGTGTTTTTTTCTGTAAACTGTAAGTTACAGTACGATGCCATCATACTGTAATTAGGTCCGCCGCGAATTATTCGACTATTTATTTATTTGTTTATTTATCCACAATTTCTCATCAGGAACTAAAGAATGAACCCCATTCCATGTGGTAACTGAAACGCTGCCATCACAAAAATGCGCCGCCAAAAATATCGGAATACAACCAATTAAAAAATCGGCAAGAAAGCCATGGATAAAATTCAGAATAAAAACATTAAACGCCATCGGAGATAAAAACAGAGAAAACAAACGAACAACTAGGAGATTGAAAACGGGTTTCTAATAAAATAAGATAAAAATAAACATGGATCTGGCACACGGGCAAAGAAGAGTGAGAGAAGACAGCAAAACACGCCGCAAACTGCTAAAATTATGTGTGTACAAATAATTATGTACATACAACGCTACAAAAGCGGAAACACAAGCGATGAGATGCCAACGAACGTGTCCGGCCCTTTTTAGGATGGCTTGGAAGACATGGCCGTCTCGGTTATCACAGTATCGTAGCTGGGCGGGGCGCGCCCGTACATGTCCTGCTTGTGGTTGTACAGCTGGTTCTCAAATGCTGCAAAATAAACGAAAATATTTAACCAAATCAGGTTTCATCACAATGACTCGAAGAATTAATTTCCCAGAACATTAATTCATCTAATTAAACTAACAAATTCAATTAAACATCCGCTTTACTCTCCATAGAAAGATTATTGCTCTAATTAAACGTCCTCTTCCGTACGATATCCTGGCCAACCAAATTAAGAAGAAACCAGCAAAAAAAATTGATAATTTCATTTTTAAATACAACCATTAACGCATATTTCCGCTGCTGCTTTCCCTGTTGAAATTTTATGCGAATGATATTTTTTTTATCCCAGGAACCAGCCCATATACTACAATTTCACATTAAATTAGCACACTGATGCAAGAACTGCCGCCAAGACAGAAGAAGAATAATGTGAATTATTATTATAAAACTGATCACCAAAATTTACTATAAAAATATTTACCGAAGTACAGAAACCTAATGCGTAAGTTTCAACTAGTATGATGAGCGCTTTTGTTAGCATACGAACTTTGGGATTACTGCAAAACAAACCCAAGTAATTTGTTAGCCTACGAAATTACGCTGATGCCAGTACAAAATATTACTGCCATAAATATAATAAAAATAAACAGAGTATTAAAATGTAGGAGGGTCAAAAACCAGGGAACGCTTCTAAAAAAAGGGCCGTACCGTGGTTGGTCTGGCCGACACTGGTGGAGGCCGTGCTGGCGTTGTAGTCGCCTTCAATACTGGCGTACTGGTGCTTGCCGGAGGGCACTTCGTAGTCGACGCTCTGGTAGATGCCGTCGTCGCTGATGTCATACGGATTGGTCTCCTTCGGTTTCGGCATAGCGACGTACATGTTGCCGAGGGGTTTCTTCAACGGCTCTGTAATTCACCGGAAGCCAGTGAGGATTAATTCCAAAAAATCACACATCAATAACATGCGCTCAGTCTCTCTACACGTAAACGGATATTAACAAAGCAAAGTGTACATAATTATTACCATTATTATAATAATAAAATTTCTTACCATTAAGTACTACAGTAAATAGAATTTATCACGCGAGATTTATTACTTATGCATTATTACGCCACGCGCTTCGTTTAACGAAATTTAAAAGGAAATTCGCGAAAACTGCTGCAATTTTTCCGCCTGCAGGAACTTTATGTGAGATAATAATTATTAAGACAAACTTCTATTTGAATTACTAAATCATAAATTCAATTAATCAAATTATTTATTTATCTAACTAAATTTAATTTATCATAAACGTATCAAGCGAGATTTATCACGCCTTATCATATCACGCGCTTTATTTAACTGAATGTAAAAAGAAACTCTTGAAAGTGACTCCAGTTTTGGCACTTTCGTTTATTTTATCTGACACTGCGATACTTTGATGCGATTGAGAACGCGAATTAGTATGCCCATTTACTACGATTCCACATTAAGAAAACCACTGTATCTAGAATAAACCAGATGAAACAGTGAATCACTGCCACTTACCGGCGACTTTGACGAAGGTTTCGCCGTTCTTGAAGTTGACGGAGGTGGGCGTTTTCCCGGGACCGGTGCCGTTGTTGAGATACATGAAGTTGTCGGCGCGATTCAGATCCGTCCGACTGTCGCTGAGGTCGCTGTCCGTGCCGCTGCTGGTGTAACCGACACTGGCCAGCTCCGTTTGCAGTTTGCGGACACGGCGCCGGTAGAAGACCAGCATGACCAGGATCAGCGCCAGCACGATCACCGCGATGCACAGGCCGACGATCAGACCGGTGTTGTCCGATTGCGACACCACCACCTATCAATCACTCAATCAATCAATCAACAACAATACCCTAATCCTTATTATATTACATATTTTATTCTGAATCTTAATTTTTTTCTACATTTTAAATTTCCCGCGATATTTTTAAAAATTCATTAGAGTTTTCAGAAAACGAGGAAAAGAAGTCATCAATCTGATGTGAATTTACACTGATCCAAGAATAAAAGCGCAGTAAAATAGCGGAAAATTAAAAAATTTCGCAACTACGAATCAAAAGGCTGAGCTTGGCGAATTCTGAATAAGACGATAAATCCATTTTTATAAAATCTGATGCGATAATTATACATAGCTTAATTACAAAAAGAGGATGACCAATCATGATGCATATTGCACATACTAGAGTAATGTTAAAAAATAAAAATTACAGTGACAGATTTTGGCCGCAGAAATTACCAACTTGTTCGGAAAATTCCGTAGACATTTTTTTGATAATAATTCGTCACGATGTTTCTGTAAAAATAGGTTAACTAGTCGAAAAGCAAGCATTTTTCCAACGAAATAAAATTCCCACTAACGCAAAACGCTAAAAAATCCCGGGAAAAAGTGAAAAATATTTTGTATCAACAATTTCTCACATTTCATCTGAAAATAATAATTAAATTTTAAAACTCATACCTGACTGCTGCGCAGCGCCGCATTGGATGCATCATCCCCATTAACGGACAATGAGACGCGGCACTCCTTGCCGACATATCCCGGCAGGCAGACACAGCCGTCCAGTTCCGGCGCACACACCCATTTGTCATTAGTATTGCAGTTCTTGTAGCAGTCGGCGTCCTTGCCCTGCAGAATGCAGCAGATGGAGCAGGCCGGCCCACCCAGTCGGTCGGCGTGCGGCTGACACATGCAGGCGCCGTCGAACGGATGGCAACTGTTAATCAACACCAACACTCACCAATTACGCCCCAAATTAACGCGGTTTTATCGGCAAATTGCATCAGTTGTACAGTAATTGCATAGTTATTTTAGATTTTCCTTGATCAAAGAAAACTGACGTTTTACAGGGTGAAAATGTCCAATTTGAATTCCGCTGGACTGATGACTAAGCCAGCGTATTTTGCAATATTTCCAAAAATAAATTCTTATTTAATTAAATTTAACGCAGTTTTATTAACTTTTCTTATTTTGACAATTTTAAAATTATTAAACAGGAAATCAAACGGGAATAGACACGGATTAATATTATTTTCAGGCAAAATTAAGAAATGATAGAATCAGGGTAACATTTTTCGGTCAAAGAAAAATTGTTTAGAAACTATTTTTGATTATATTGTACTTACACAGTGAGATTGCTGCACGTGCAAGTATTGTTGCAGAATTTGCCAAACTTTCCATCCGGACATGCTGCAAAAATATCCACCGTAAATTTTCAATAAATTATTAACTGCATTTTTCGATTTATTCAATCTCCTACCGCGTTGATCGCAACGGTCGCCGGTGAATCCGCTATAACAGCGGCACTTCCCGCTGACCGGATCGCAGGTCTGGGCGTTGTCGCAGTTGCACAAACTCTGGCAGTTGGGTCCATACTGTCCCGGCTCGCACTGCTTCTCGCACTGCGGACCCCAGTAGCCGGCCGGACACTTGCAGCCGCCGCTGATCGGATCGCACTTGCCTTCGTTGTAACAGGCGCGGCACTGCTTCTTGCAGTCTTTCCCGTAGAAACCGCTGTCACACTGGTTGGCACATACTTCGCCCTGCCGAAAATAAAAACACTGCAGCTGCATTCCTGAGTGCCGTATCAGCAGCGATTAACGCTGATTTGATCGCATTAATTAATCGAAAGCAATCAACAACTGAATACTTGAAAAATCAATTTTATTTTAAATTCAAACACAAATCCAACTTTTTAAATTGAATAAATTCAGGAAATGCCAGCTTATCCAATCCAAGCTGAAAATTAAAAAGCAATAAAATAGCAAAATTAAATTCAAATTTTATATTAAACATAAATATTATTTTAAACGCACGTATATTTTAAAATTACTATGTTCTATTTATTCTTCGTGATTATATAGCCTACTATTTTATATTAGTTATGCACAAGAACAAAATATAAGTAATAAATAACAATTTAAAAAATACATATTTAGATTAATACATAATTACTCATATATAAAATTCGAATTTTTTTAATTCGATTTTTTGTAACAACGTTATTTGACAGACCCAACAGACGGAGAAGTTTCATTTTTAAGTCACCGTACTACGAAGTTTGCCCACAAATGTGGCGGTCCAAAGGAAATTTTCCAAAGCTAAAACTTAATTTTCTAAAACTAAAAATTTTCTAAAACTAAAAAATTGGAGAAATTCCTTTGAACAAATGGCAAAATAAAACTTTACTACCAACTAATAAATAATACAGAAATATTCAAAAATAACTGACAATAAAATTAATTACAAACTGTACACTCACCGTGTATCCGGCAGGGCACGAGCACTTATCCGCGCCGGCCTCGCAGACCCCGCCGTTCTGGCAGCGATCGCAGACCGTCTCGATTTTGGTAGGCGCACAGGACTTCTCGCACAACGGTCCACAGAACCCATCCGGGCACTTACAGCCCCCGCTGACGGGATCGCACTGCGCGCCGTTCTCACAGCGGCACTGTTGCAGACACATCTTGCCGTAGTGACCCACTGGACACGGCTGGTCGCAGGCGGCGCCCTGCCACCCGTCCGTACACTCGCAGCGTCCGTTGATGGCGTCGCAGATGGCGCCGTTGCGGCACGCGCAGTCCTTCTGGCACTGCTGACCCCATTTTCCGGCCGGGCATTCTATTCATTCAGCACCCAGAATTACGTTAAATATATCATTCCAAATAAAATGCAAGTATTTTTGCTAATAAAAAAATATTAAATTTTTGGCTTACTAACGATAATTAAATTGAAATTAATTTTCCGTATCCGAAATTCCTGATCCAATTTCTGTCGTACAGACCGGAAATCATTTAACAGAATATACGAGTACGTTGTATTATATGATCACTGATCAGTAACAGGCAGACATGAGACTGTTAATTCCCAAGTAAACGCAAATTCGGCGAGTTCTGAAAAAAACATTTTCTAAAAAAATTTTTATCTTATTTCATATGAATACTCTTAATTTTGTTTTTTGTTGGAATTTTTTGGAAAAAAACGTGGCAAATTTCTAAAAAACTCTCGCCATCTTTAAATTTTTTTATCTTATAATTATTCCTACTAAATTCTTCCCTAAAATGTTTTTAGGGCACGATTATTTCTAAATTCTTTCTTTGTATTTTTTTATCATACTATTATTCCAAATTCTTTCTATTTCGTTGAAAATTTTTCAAAATTTACTAAAATTCGTAATTATAACACATGATAATTTATTTGTTGGCAAAATGGGCAAATTTATAACTCATACGCCACTTAAATCAGTGAAGCAATCAGCAAAAAAATAAAACAGCGCATAAAAGGCAGCTGTTAGGCGGCGCGATTAATCAGCGGCAGTAATAAGCTGGGAGCAGCAGCGATGGTCAAGGGCCGATTATCAGCGGGACAACTACTCACTCTGGGTGCATGTGTCACCGGCGAATCCAGGGTTACACTGGCAATAGTTGGGTGCCACGCACTGGCCATTAATGCACTGGTTGTAGCAGAAGGCTGCAAATGGTTACAAGGCAAATATAACAGCGGCGTTAAAATGCAGGCGGAAGTCAAACACAGAGTTAACAGCGGTCTAATATGCACATGCAAGCAGCCGGCCGCGCGGACAAACACACGTAGCGCAAGGGCTTTAAAGGCCACCGCTCAAGTACAAACCAAATAAAAGCGAAGCCGAATATACAAATTCAAATAAAAAAAAGGAAAAAGTCCAAAATACCGGGAAGAAAAAGGCACAAATCTCAAAGACAAAGAGAAAACGGCAACAAAATAAACAAAATAAGGTTGATCACGTTTGACAGCGGACGACCACGCAAATACACATACAGCACAACAGAAAACAAATTCTGAAAATTAAATACAGTATTCACAAAAGGAACGATAACAATAATTATCACCCGATTGCATTGGAAACAACTCGTGTCTTTCACAAATAAAATTAACCAAAAAATCAAATCAAAATTCAAACTGGCAGAATACATTATGGAACTGCAAGCAACATAATAACCTATTAATACAACGAAACAAATTTAAAATTTGTACCACTAAGAATTATAAACAGTTAGTAATTATGGCGTCCAGAAAATCTGAAGATACCGTAATATAACCAATGCCACACAAGAAAACCCATTAAAAAGTTTTGTGTATTAATTTTTATGGAAAATATAATGTAAAACAAAACTGAATAATTTCTATTTACCGTATGTAATATTTGTATTATAAATTATATTTTGTATTATTTAAAATTTTGTAATATAAAAAATCTTTTAAAAAATATACAAGGAAACCGATAAAACATCTCCAATTAACGGCCAATAACATTGACATTTCCAAAGAAAATTTCGCATTATAAATTTCCCGAAAAATATATTCCTTAATAATGCGAAAAAAATGCCAACAGTTCTCTTTGTGACGTCGACAACACGATAAACCTCGGCGCAACCCAGCGCACAAGGCACACAGCGGTAAAAGAGTCAACACGAGGGGCGCGTGGACAACAACTAACAAGGTCAGAGTACTCCAGCACCGTGAAGTGGGCATGCGGCGCATGAGGAAACGCAAACCAGAGTCAACAACGTAAACAGGGGGTGGTCACTTACGGATACAAGTGCCGTTGGAATGCAGAGTGTACCCGTCGCAGCACTTCTTCACCATCTTCGGCACGGCGTTGACGTTCTTCTTGTACACCACTTTGTACACCGTCTTGTACGTGGTGCAGCGCGGTGGAATGGACAGACACCAGGTTTTGGTGGCCACTTGCGTCGGTTCACGGGTCGGCACCATGGTCTCTTCCTGGACACTGCAAAAAATTCAGTTGTGAATGAGAAACAATTTTTACAAATTAAATTGGCGTTAATTTCCGCACACCATTCTGCGAAAATATTTTATTTACATAATTTATTTTGATTACTTTTTGTTGGCATTAATTATAATAGGCTTTCTATTTTGAAGCGCTTACATTTTTCCATCGGCATTTGTATATTTGAATAAGTAATAATTTTCACAAGTTAATAAACTGGCGTTAATTCCACACATCGCACAACGACAACTAAATTGTCCGAAAATATTTTATTTAGTTTATCGTGAATATGTTCTGTTTGGGTTAACTATTCTCCATTTTCCAATTTTATTCGCCACATCTTTCCACTGGTATTGGTGCAATTTTAGCCATTGTTATTAAAATAACTAGCAATTATTCTGTCGGAAAGGAACTGTTTCTTTCAGCGTAAATCCGCTGAATCGATTATATGCATAACTCGACCGTAACCGATGAACACTCCGGCTTTTTAATTTGAACTTTATTTTTTTAAACCGCTGCGAAGTTTTTACATGCAATTTCGCAATGTTCAGAGACATTTTTAATGCGAAATGAGCACAAAGATTTACGCTATAATATTACGGCGTACATGGAAAACTCGCAACCGTAATAAATACGATTCTACAATAACTCGTAATTTACAATTCTACCTCGAAGCGGAATGACTTCATACAAGCGCTAATTAACGATAAAATTCCAGCAATATAGGTGAGCATCGTACAGAATGACTGATAACATTCTATAGCACTATCGGCTTCGGATGACACATCGCATTATCTAACTCGAAATTAAAGGCTACGAAATTTCTGATTAATTGATTAATGATTCTCACGCGTACACACCCATGTTCGAAAACAAACAGAATAAAATTAACGCGCTGATTAACACCGGATAATTTGTAATACACTGCTGTACACATTACACTCAGTAAAATTAAAAATAAGCGAATGTCTAATAATCACCAAAAGAAAATATTAATCTATGTATTATACAAAGAAAATTATTGTGCAATTCAAGATCAACATTGTCCACTATAAAAACGCACTGTAAAAATGTTTTCTTATACCTAATATTCCAACAAGAAACGTGATTTTCGCTGGATTTGTTTACTTTGCGAGTATTGTCAGCTCACAAAATACACAAAAACGCGATTTCAGTCGGAAAATACCAAGAAGGCAAAAGCACGAAGAATTTCGATTAGATAAAAATTTTATCGCTTCCTGACGGTGCTTATCGCAAGAATAAACCTGTAGCGGGTCAGTAAATAAAATATATCACGCGGGACAATTCTAGCACGTCCATCGTGCGCCATAAAACCAGGGAAAAATATGCCAACAGCGCCACTTCATCAAGAAAAAATCAAAATATTTGCAGTTTTTCGCAGACCTCTATCATCGCACAATTCGCACTAGAACGTAATTAAATTTCCAAGAAATTTCCACACCCAAGATATCAAAGATTTACTCTTTCATCCGTCTTCTGACTTTTTTTATTGAATAAACATCTAGAGGCGTAATATTTACCCGGCAGAAAGTTAATAAACTTATTAAAAGTTGTTTTTTGTTTAAAATTATTTGTAAAAAAAATTAAGGCTTCTGTTTTCTATTTTTTAAGAAAACTTTCATCGATGGCAATTCCGTAAAAGTACAAATGCAAAATATGTTGTAATAAGAAACACAAAATAATAATATACTTGCAAAGTACAAACCAAGCTAACCAACACAGGCGTGCTTTTTATCAAATGCAAATTTAAAGCGAATTAAAATTAAAATTCAATATTCTGAAATACTCGGTTTTATAGATCAGCAATTTTTTTTCTCGCAGTTCGGCCATCTGATAACTGAAGCATTATGAGGAAGTGGAGGAACTGAAAGAAGCCGCTGGCGGTGTGATAATTGCATTATACACGCATGTTTTTATCGGATATGGCATCCGAACGTGCTCGTTCCGCATGGGAAATAAATCCCGGCGCACGTTCTCACTGATAACCTCCAACCTCAATGCACCGCAAATGTGCCTGCCCAGCCGCAACATTAATTCTATTTCCGGCTCGAGGTATAAATAAAAATAATTAAATGCGTGAAGCTGTTTCTTCCTTTGTTACAAAGGATGCGCTCTCACAATCTTGATGTAGACACCTTTTACTGTTTACCACTACGCCAAAAAACACAAAATAATAAAAATAATAATTTTTTGAAAAGTGAAATTAATTGGTAAAATCGTAAATTATTTTGCTAACAGTAAAAATAAAATACAGCTAAAATAAAAGAAATGAAATATCAATAAAATCAATTATAATTCGAAGCGCAGACGCAGAAAAACAATTTTCAAAAACATAAATAATGGGAAAAAATCATAAAATTGTCACTTACATTTCCTGCTTTTCGCAGATATTCGGACTGTTAGGATCCAGTTCAATGCAGTAGTGCATGCCGGCCAAGGAGATCAGAAAGACGGACAACGTAGGTAAACGCATTTTCCTTGATTTGTTGGAACCGGAAATCCCGAATAAAACTCCGTGTCTGTTATCTGAAAATTCAAAACCATAAAGATTTAATTTTACTCATAAATAATTCCTGTTTGAATTCTGAATAGGGATAACACAATTAACAACATGCATAATCTTAAAACAATTTCAATTTCTATCGGGAAATTAATTTTTCAAATGATTTATCAATTATTAAAGAAATAAATACCGGTTGGCGTAACTGCCACTTTAACCCAGCTAATTAAACTGGAATATTCAAGAATAATTCCAGGAACCTTATCCTGAATAAATTACGTAAACAAGTCCTTTCACTCTTACCAATTAAAGCGCCACAATAAACAGACCCAATTTTCCCATCACCAAACAAAGCCGATGACTGCTATAAATTTACAGGAAGCTTTTCAAAGCAATCCGCCGATGCGAAAAAACTGCCGAATAACCAATATGTCGGTTGCATAAACACACAAGTTCTTTATGCACACATCTCGTAATGCAAGGCAGGATTTAAATGCATGCGCTACACCGAAATAAAACGCAACAAATACTTTTCGCTCGCGGCTGGATTCATACATACAAATGTATACAAACTAGGCGCATATTCAGTTATGAGAAGAAAAATCGTCAAAAAATGAGTCATAAGCACGATACGCGGGTGTGCAGTCGAGACGCACTCGTTGTTGACAGAAAACATAACGCCCCGCCCCTGTCCAGCCAATCATCAAAACTCTGACCGAACAAACCAGAAAAAAACAGAGAAGTGCCCACAAAAAGCTGAAACAGTGAAACCGAAAACTAATCCCAGATAAACTGCACCCACACTCCAAAGTTTTTCAAATTCCTGCACCGTAATTTTTTGTACAAGAAAGCGTAATGTATTGTACATGTATGTCATTACTCAGGCTGAATTACAGTATTTATAATTTTCTCTGCGTGCTAAGTAGCTTGCATTCACGAAATCTAGTGCCGCAGAAGTAAAAATAATAAGGTACTTTGATTGCGTACGTAATTTGATTAAAATTATTTAACTCGTTACACATATAGATATACAATACAGATACGACGCGTAGCTGTTATTAACATTATTTAAGCCGGTATAAGGCATGGTTTAATTAATTTTATCGTTAGGATACGCATGTCGTTTAAAGCGGTTAACGATACACACATTACACGAATAACTATACAGCATATGCACAGAAATAAGAGCTCCTCAATATATATACAGAATACCTGTCTGCAGGCATGCTATCGTAGACAAGTGGCTACACGTAGCTAGTAAGACTAGACTTTTCAGTTATTTGTTGATATTCAAACATTTTTTGTGATGCAAATACCATAAATCGAAACCGTGCGATAAGAAACTCAAAAATATCGCTCCTGATAAATTTACATCTCTGTTGATACTTATTTCTATGTAGTATGATACTACACAGAAATACAAGTAAGTAACATTTAATTTTCAGTTAACTTTTTTTTAAATTTAAATCATTTTGTTTAGTGTACAAGTTCATCAGCGCTGGCATCATATACTATATCTATGTATTGGCATATTCTATGTATCAGACAGCAGACATATACAAAAACATTAATAAGGTTAGTAAACTACAGTCATACTCTGTAGTGGGCGTGTGAATAACAAACACTTCAATTTAGAGCCGCAAAAACCGGTCCAGTAACAATAAAATTAGCATGACAGCGAATTCTCAAAGAGTTGGTCCCCTTGTAATAAACTTTTACCACCATACACTATAAACACTTTTTTGCAATTTTGTACGTAATTTGCTACTAGAGAGAGAGACGGCATAAACAAACTCTTGCGGTCTGCAATTTGTACCTGTCAGCACCTTGCAAGCGCCCCATCAGTGCATTCGTTATGCAAGAAAAACTGGCAGACAGCGTCAAATTAATACCTACGAGTCGTAGGTATTAATTTGACGACTATTTTCAAAGTATGGCAACAGAAAACTGGCTGTTTTCTGTTTCCACCTTATCATTAGTGCTTAAATTGGCAATACTTGCTCATTGGCGATTTTGTAAATCAATATAATATTACATTTTAAGATGGAGAAATTCTTTTCTGAAATAATTATCAAAAAAACCAATAAAGAACCAACAAAGAATCGAAGCGCCCACAAAATATAAATTTATAAATGTAAGCCATTTTTGGTTGTTTTATTGTTTTTAATATTGTTTCTAAATATTTTTTAGTGTTTTCAAATAACCTGTGTTTTATGTATTAGCCTGCGACTATAATGGCATATGTTATCTATATTTCGAAACAAATAGTTCCACACAAAATGCGTAATTTCGCAAAAAACTGGAAGTCTATGCAACCTAATTAAATCATTGATTGCGAATGCCGACGCCTGACGAACGCAGAACTAGTAAAGTTTCTTCGAAGATTTAACAAAGATATTATTCTTCTTAGTCAAAGCAAAAGATTGATTGGTAGCGCACCTTCGTCCGTAACCTGTCAAGATGAGACATTTTTTAGCCGATGATAGCAGCAGTTTTCAGTTTATCTACACTGCTGCTCTTTTTACGGCAGTGCTACCGTCCAGTTAACGTAGTGCAATGGTTAAGTGCATAAGCCTTCCATTTCAACTCGAATTAAGTAATGTGAAAGAAAGCGAAAATTTGCTTTGAAAACTTCACTGCTCAGTAATAACTTTTTCCATAGAAGTAGTTATAAAAAAAGCAAAATCATAAATATTCAATATAAATACCGAAAAGCGTCACATAACTGTATTGTTTATTAAAGTCTACGATCTATGAGTTAGTTTTCCAGTTCTTCAAATTGAGGGTGATATCAGCAATCCCTTTACTTCCTTTGTTAAAAAATCTGGCAAGTAATAATTTCTGGGAACAAATATGTAGGAAGGTTTATGACTCCTCTGAAAAAAACTAAACAAATAATTACGAATCGATATTCGTTACAGTAGCGAAAATTTAATCTCCGAAAAGGAAGCATCGATCAAAGGCGATTAAGTCCCCCCACAAGCACTTATCAGGCCGTTTTTCTTGACAGACAAATTTTAAATATTGATTTTTTTCAGCGCATCCCCGCGCTCAACATGATGTCATCGCAGCGACTCGACAGAATTTCGATTCACCCGAGTGCATTAAAGTGAGCCCTAAATGAATGTTGTTGACCAAGTGTGTGTTTTAGCGAAAAAGTAAGTCATGGGATCACATCTATTCACTTTCGCTCAGCTGTAAAGGCGTTCGTATCAAGGTCGCAGTTTTAAATCCCAAAATCCATCAAACAGCTGCCTCCTCGACTCAACCAAGCATATTTCATTGTCAGAGTATCGCTGCTTTCCCAAAAGAGGAAAATTTATATTCTGGCCAAACCAGCCTAAAATATCGATTATTTTTATACGCGTACCGAGATTTTCCAAATATTACCCACAAATTCATAAAAATTCTTTTGAACTTTAAAAGGATAAAAATATTTACAAAATGTATGAAAAGTGAAGCAACAATAAAAACGGGATGTCTTACAAAATTAATTATTAGCACCGCTTTCCACAAATTCAAAAATTTTTATACCCAGCAAAACGTCACTACTACAAGAAAAACTAGACATTTAACCAAGATAAAATCTTATAAAATGTTTTGGCAAAATTAACTTGCTCAAACCTTACACTTGTTAAAAACTGAAATTCGCATCGACAGAAGGTCGTTAACCGAATAAAACCACCGCCCAATGGCTAGTACAAGTTATATAAAAGTAGCCACGACGATTACGATTTCCGATTGACATTAATGACCAGAAGCGCCTTCTCCGAATATCCGATGGTCAATAACCCGTTAATTAGCCCGCTTTTTCTCTTTACAGAAAAAACCATTCAGACATCCTGCATTCTCCTACCCGGTGTCTCGACGGTGTTCCGGTATTTTGGTGATTAATAGCCACCCGGATATCGGTCAACGTCGGGGATTGAGAAAATGCCGGCTTCTCCTAATTCAAGCTGAAACAAACAAAACTCCATAATTCCCCTTATAAATTAATATATTTTATTAAATCAAAAAAATACAAACTTTCGCAGCACGAATTACTGTACATACGAACTTTTTAATAGATGGTTTTAATATTTAAATAGCAGCCATGCTAGGATTCGAAATGCCCATTCACTACAAAACCGTTACGACATGCACGTAATATCTGCATGATAAAGAAGGCAAATATCAGTTTTGCATGTCCATATTTTGCCAAATATTTTCCACATCAAATTGTAACTAATTCAACCGGAATATTTTATCGATTGCATGACGGTTAATGCCAAATTCCATTAGCTCCATTAGTGCTGACAAGCATTTCGCGCTTACTTTTAGCAGGAAAATTTAATTATATTTTAGAAAGCACCCAGCATTTCACAAAACAATGAGCCTGCGTCGCACGAACAAATTAAAATAACTTAAAATTTAACTAATACAAAATTCAACAAAATTACTCATTACGAAATAAGAAACCAAAACGATGACGCTGCTGTGAGCGGTGATTGAAGGAGAAATTCGACCGTCCGACGACCACCGCCAACTGGACACACGCACTCTTAACCGAGCACTTTCTACCAAGGGGTTTTCAATTACCGCCACGATCATAAAAAAATCGTCTACCCCATAAAACTCCCCACACAACGCCGGGGCATCGTATGACTCAGTTCGCTGCACGCTCGGATTGCCTTACACGACAAGTGCTCGTTGCGCAGATTTGTGCACATTTAAAATAAACGTTTTAGAGGTTGACGGCCAAATCATACAGGTGATTCATATTCCACGGGGTTATGCGCAGATTACGGGGCCGCATTTTTCGGCATTTATTTGTTTATTCGGTGACGGATGAATAATACGCGCCCAGGGGCGCTGCAACAATGCGCATGAAAAAAAACAAGAATTTCGCGCATAATGTGATTGTGACTAATTTTTTTGCATAGCCCTCCAGATAAATCTATGTGCGACAAAATTTAAAAAAAATAAAATTCAGCAAAAATCTGGGTTTGCTTTTGACGCACTGCATGCTCAAAATGCAAGCAACAACGTTATTATTTCCGAATTTTTTGAAGGTTCTTCATCATTTCAGATTTAATTATTTTGTATTTGTATAATTTTTTCCTACTATTTTATAAAAACACACAATCACCGGGACGCTTAAAAAGCGAAAAAAATTAAAAATATTAAGCATCGGAATTTTATACTATACTCAAAAAAAAGCTCAAAAATTCAACAAAATTGAAAAAGATTTCCGAAAAATCTGAAAAAACAAACAAAACTGCAAACTAATTTTTAGTCAGGAAAATGTGCAGTTAATTATTTATCTGCACGTGCATCCGTAAAATTTTCCCTAAATAACTCCCATAATTTGAAATAAAATTTGCGTACATTTTCCACGTGTACCCCGTAAACGACAGTGCGGTTTGATTCCGTTTGAAGGTTAAAATTAGAATATTTATGTCATAATACGCGCACAATTGCTGATCTCAGCTACCTTACCTGAAAATTCCAATCTGGGTTAGCTCATCCGTTGCTGTCAGCAAAATCAAAAACGCTTTCTCCGTCCGTCGCTTCCGTTCTACAACCGCAAAATATTGCGAAATCTATATGCTGGTATTTGCATACTAAAAAGTAGCGTAAAAACCGCACCAAATTTGTCACGATGCAGCACAATCAGATCGGCGGGATTTTCTTGATGCAACCAGTAACCACAAGAAAATCGACAATCCAAAGGGATATTTAGTAAAATTAAAGATTCTCTCACGTGTTGCAACCAGTCAATGCAAACCGAGATCCAGATCAAAGTAATGGAATAAAATAATTTAAATAGCTTAAACAAAGGCAGCGAGATTCAGAGGCTGCTGTGAGTTTTTAAAGAAAAATCCCTGCAACGGATCCAGTCATGCGACTAATCATGATGAAGTGACTGGTTTTTTATGCCAAGACACGTTGATCTGGCGGCCAGCTCATATCAGCGGTATTGCCCCAGCTGCGCTCTCTCGGTCTCTTTCTTCTCTCTCTCTCTCTCGTACTTTCTGTGTTCTTAAAGCCGTCTCTCTCTCCTCTCTCATGGTTGTACGGCAAAACCACAACACTAAGCATCTGTACGGCATTCTGCGGTTTCCATTGGTTGGTGGTGATACAACAGAAAGAGAGGGACAGGATAAAAAGCCGCCCATGCAGTTCAATGCGCAGTACAGTACGTATTGATGTCCGGCTGTGTATAAAGTATTTAATAAATAAAAAGTCGTGACTGCGAGTGCGGTCAGTACGGTGTATTAAAGACCATTAAGAACGTACTTACTGCACTCGTACAAAGTACGTACTTATTTCACGGACTGCTTTCAGTGGAAAACTGCACCTCGTGAATAATTTATCACCGATAAGAATCAAAAGATTTTGTGATTTTATCAGAGCGGACCATGTCTTCCTTAATCCACAATGGTTTCGGTCGTCACAGAATGGACTTATTTCTATTGTATCTCATCCTTCCGCTGGAGCTCGTTGCCGGTGTAATCCGGGTTTACCAGAACGATTTCGGCATCCAGGCCTCCTCCCCAGTTTGTGCCATTTATGATGATCAGCAGATTGTTCCTGGAGCACAACCTCCGACGTATCCTTGGGTAAGATTGATATTTATTTTCTGGTATTCGTTTTCATATGACGTTGTCGTCGCGTGCGCTCTCGTTACATTGAGAATTATTTGAAATTGCGATTTAATACAGGTAGCCCTGAAAATACCCACTCCGGCCGACGCTTGCAGAATCTTCCCAGCACCATACCCGCGACGGTTTAGTGGGACACAGGGAAAGGGAATCCCGAGAATGATATTGTTGATGGACGACAGCGAGTGCCAGGTTGAAAGAGGTGATAAAGCTTGCCGAAAAGAAGCTTTAATTAAACTAAGAATATTATCTTGAAAAATTATCTATAATAATTATAGAGAAATTTGTTTGGCACTTGACGTACTTACTGACGTACGTACACCGCCGCCTCCCTGGGCGGCCGAAACAGATCATTTGTACCTACACGGTCGTTCGTGCATATTAAATTTTGTATTTGCGCTCTATGTTCTGAATAGTGCAGGTAATGTACAAAAGAATTCGGAAACATTAATTTTTCATATTTCAGCACCGTCATAAATTAAATTTTTTGACACTGCGTGATCCCAAAAATAGGAAGTCTTCATTAACTATAAGGTTTTGTTTCCGGTTGCGTTATTCGAAGAACACGATAATCACCGTCGTGCCTAATGTATTCGCAGGTTGGAAAGCCGGCGGTTATGGAACTGGACCGGACGACGATTTTTACACCAAAATCCTGAAGGCACAAAATCTCGATTACGTTGGAGCCATTACGTGTATCCCAGGATGACCGTCTTGCACCAGCCGCTTCCCTTCAGTTTCAATCTCTCCGACCCGGGCCAGATGTCGGCTACGTGGCTCTCCCGTCATTACGCCTTCCCCATTCCCGTGCCAACCGAAATGGCGAAAATAATCCGGATTCCCGTGCATTTCGTCAGTTATGACCAGGCCATGATGTTGAAGCAATATGCATACAACGGTCAAGATATTCCAACCGGGTGCGTACTACGGACGTACCATATCTGTTCGGCAAAACGCCGGCTTCTAAAGCCATTGGAAGTTTCATATGCTTCGGTACTTTCTTCGAACATGCACAATAAAAATTTACGCTTTTAGCTGCTTTCCGGCTTTTAGTAAATACACAGATAAAAACGCATAGTATTTTTTGAAAAACTATAACTGCGGAAAAGTGCTAATTATTGTTTAAAATTATTTTTCTGAAAATTATTATCGTTTATAGCTAAAAACCGGGTCAGTTTAATAGCTCGGTAAAAACATGCTAGAAACAGGAAGAATTAATTATTTAAAAAAATTAATTACTAAAAAACTGCAGTCAGGAGAAATTAATTATTAAAAGAGGACGTTTTTGCACACCAATAAATCGGTACTCAAGTTTTTCGTCTACAAGCAACAGTACGTGCAGTTAATATTAAATGCGTTTTACAGATTCCATTTTGACTTAACACCACCGGCGCGCGGGATGACACAAGTGGTCTCTGGCGCCGATAAACTGGGAAACACCTACCAGACGACTACAAGCGCAACTGCCGAATTCGTTTCCCCGGACCGGAGCAAGTTTTTCCGGTCACAACGCAGACCGGATGCTACAGAGCCGACTCGAACAACACCCACCTTTGATTATACAAATTACTCCAACCTCCAGTCTTTACGGTAGACATACATACATGTATATATATGTCGCATATTACAAGCGCTTTTGCAGATTTTGATTTCGATTGGAAACGTTTTTATGGTGCCCTTTACAGGCAGTATACACCGTGGATCGATGATTCTCGTGCTTTTCCAACGATGAACCCGGCATGGAAGTAGTGTACACGCTGGTGTAACTGATTTTGGCGCACATTTTCGCGCTGATCTGACTGACAATTTGATTGGTCAGACACGCCCCTTCTCTGATTGGCCTGACACGCTCCTTCTCTGATTGGTCGGAAACGAACCGCCCAGAACCGAGCCGAACCGTTCAGGACCGAACCGAGACCGGCCGAACCGTACTATACCCCCTTTCTTTTGTTTATTTTTCTCCACCCTATTTTATTTTGTTTTCACCGAATAACAACGAACAAAGTTTAAGTAAAACAAATCAGGCCGCATGAACATACGCAGGAGTAGCAGTACAGTCTTTGACAAAAATACAATTTCGGTTAAATTTCTGATGGTCATTGTATGGATCTCCCGGTGTCCAGTTGCTCATTGTAAACCGGCAGTAACGGCATTTAACTGTATCATCAGATCCGGTATAGTACAGTCCCGTCCTTGCCATGGCGCCGGCAGAAGGAAGGAGGTGTGGCCGGTTCTCAAAAGTACTGAGTGGTCCGTCGGGGTTGTGAAGTTTACTGACGTATTTGTAAAGTTCTTCGGCTAAGGCATACACCTGCTCCTGCCCGTCCCAGTTACCCACCAGGTCGTCGGGTATGCTTGAAAATCCAGACCAAGCCCCCGCAATGGCACAAGCCATGATGCCGATGGCATCTGTGCATCCTCCAGTTAACATTGTCGCGTGCAGAGTGGATTCGAAGGAATAACTACTACAGCGACCAATAGCAGCGAAGTAAACAGCAACAGGGACGGCTTCCAAGGGGCTAGTACCGACGCCAATAGCTTTGAACAGTTTCTCCTTAGGTTCGACACGTTGCGCATAGTCCAAAACAATCATCATACGTGTATAAAATTTCTCACGTACGCATTCCGGGAGAGACTTATTGCTGTATTCAACAAGAGCGGATAGAAACTCCAGCTCGGTCAGCTGTGGATTCATTAGAACCAGACTGATGGCATAGGCCTGCAGTTGTGCTCCAGCGGCAGCTTCATTGGAAGAGTGGGTGAGTCGAGCAACACGGTCTACAGAGAAACTCATCTGCTCCGTCCGATTGTAAAAGTACAAGGGAAACGCTGTTATCCAAGTGGCCGCATTACATTCTGTTCCCCGGTTGCGGACGTTCTGTGCCGCGGCGGTCCAGTCTTTTGGGGGAGAATGTTTCCAACTGGCAATAATGGTGGTCAGTTCACCAAAAGCTTGGCGCTTAGTGTGGTTGTGGTAAAAGGCTTGGCTAAATTGTCGTGCGGCATTCTCCATTTAAAAAAAGCCAGTATCCAGTAGAGACTTGGCGTAAGCGTGCGTTATTAAGAATTTTTCCCAGTAAGTCGAGACCTTGCTACGCACCCGCGCCAAGTTCATGTGACAAGACGTGGGGCGTCTCAAGGGTGTTCCGATGCATTCTCCAATCAATGCGCCTAATATACAGCCTTTGTACTGATCCATGGCGTTCAGAATTGCGAATAAATTCCTAATCCAACCAGCTGAGATAGACCTCGTCGTTTTCAAAATCCAAACTGGCGCTGACCCGCATTCATTCTCGTCCTCTCTCATTTAACAATGGTTAATACAAAGGGCGCTGACCCAGATTCTTTGTTCCTTAGCTAATCCAAACTGACGCTGACCCACATTCTGTCTCGTCCTCTCTCATTCGACAATGGCTAATACAAACTGACGATGACCAAGTTTTCTTCAGTTATTCCGAATTCTCAACAAGATCGTTGCTGTCTGGATTCATCGACAGTTATTGTTTTGGCACTGCGCTTTCAGAAATGGATTTTGACCTTTCGGAATTAACTTTTACTCCAGCGCAACGGGAATACTGTTTTGGATCGCTCCATTTAAATTCTTTAGATCTGGGGAAATTCAAATCATCGGCTTTCCCCCCTTTCTTTTGTTTCATTTTTTCCCCACCCTCTTTTATTTCGTCTTCAGTAACAATTATTACAATAAACAGTTCAGGCCGCATGAACATACGCAGGAGTATCAGTACAGTCTTTGAAAGAAATACGATTTCGGTTAAATTTCTGATGGTCATCGAAAGGATCTTCCGGCGCCCAGTTGCTCATTTTAATGTATTATACTGCCACTACTAAGAAACAATATAAACTGTACGAGTACTGTACCTTGCACTCGTATAGATAGAGCGCGTAAACAGCATGCTTTCTGAATAAAATCAGAAAGAATCCGGCAGCGCGTGGTGATGTGACTTTTCTCTGAAAGTGCCAAAAGTGCACCGCCCCGCACCGGCTCCAAGCACCGCACCGCACCGGCTCCAAGCACCGCCCACCAACGTTCAGATAGGGTAGACAAACCAGCCATGTACTGTATGTATTTTACTGCTACTACGCACAAACAAATGTACGAGTTCTATACTTTGCACTCGTATGGTCAGGACCCGGCAGCAGCCTGCTTTCTGATTAAAATTAGATAGCATTCGGCTGCAAGCATGCATCTTGTCTGTTCAGTCATCGAACTTTGGGGCAGAAGTAACTTATTTTTCTGATTAAAACTACAGATAAGTTTACTTGTACCTAACGAAATTCAATACTAGGTGTGACAAAATGAGTCAGCATCTGTCATAACCTGTGAGCGTGCAGCCTGTCTGTACAGTCATCAAAGGTTGGAATAAAATTAACTTATGAGGTGATTAACTTTATAGATAACTTTACTTGTGCCTATGAGCATTGAATACCAGAAGTACATACTGGTCGGCACAAACAAAATTAACGTACATGCGTGACGTAGTTGCACATCCACCGGGAACAGCCGCGCGCCATCGTCTTGAAGCATACGTTGTTCACATATTGATTAACGGATATTATTAGTATGTATTATAAAATAATGACGTACAAAACCAAGCTCCAACCACGAAATAGAGGAATATAATATTTTCTTATGAAATATGTCAAATTCCACGCATATATTCCTTCCCGAAATAGCACGTAAAGCGCAACTACACAGGCTGCTGCTCAGGTACCGAAGTGGTTCAGACCGGTGAAGTGATGTGGTTACCTACAATGAATAGTACTTGTTACAACTCCACTGCACCAAGGAACAGATATATACATAGATCTCTACAATTACCGTGTATAATGTAAAACACATATTACAAATTAATACGATTATAATGACATACAGACACATGCTTCAACTAAAAGAGCGGTATTTAACCTTTTTCAATGTGAAATGTGGAATTCCACACGTCGACACCATGAAACGGCTAGAAAAAAAGCAATACTTTTACCTTCACCGCACTGGACCACACCGGACCCAGCCCCACGGCGCACCGCAGCCCCTGACGCCGCACAGAACCGGACCCGAACCTCATGACAACGCCCAGGCAGAGTAGCCATGTACTGTATATACTGTACTTCCGCTACTCGCAAAGAAAGATATATTGTACGAATACTGTACTGTTTACTCAGATGGCCAGCGACGCAGACAGGAAGCTGGTTGATTGCAATCAGATAGCGGCCAGTAGCGACAAGGCTGCCTAGGCCTGTCTGCTCAGACATCAAACTTTTAGGCAGAAGCAGCTTATTTTTCTGATTGAGACTACAGATAAGTTATACTTATACCTATGAAAATCTGTAATAGATGTACATGGAAAAAACAACACCGTGTATATACTGTACGGCACAAGCATTTCAGTTGTACATTTACCGTGACGCATGTATCCACTGGGATGGAAACTGTCTTTAAACATAAGGTGTTTGCATATTTACGAACATTTATTAGTAATATTTTAATGGGTAATAGCCGCCAAGATAACGATTGCATGCGCTTGTACACTACCAGAAAGTTAATATTAATCAATCAAAAACAAACCAAAATCGAAAGCAGTAGAACGCACTTTTTCAGTTAAGTCTCGAATTCGACGGCCCATGAAATGCAACAGGTCACCCATAGCGGGAGCCAAATACCCCCAGTCTCAGTCACTAAAAGATAAAAAAGTATCCGTTATCCAAAAACTGATATGTTCGGCGCTTGGAATTTTTGCAAGCTGAGCAACATGTCCTGGTTTCTTACAGCTGCCGGTGACATGCGGCTGTACACCAACTAGTTGCTTCACACAGCAGCAGTTTATTGGTAATTAATATAATCAATTAACTACAGATACTGTGCTTCAACCACAAAGGAGCGGCAATAAATATTATATTTTGTGATATGTAGAATTCTACACATTGATTCCATTTCCATTAATCTGCATAGCACAATGCTGCCGCTCAGTCTCATGTTCAGGTTACGCGTATGAGTTGTGAAGATTTTGTACAATTCCATTCTCAAATACGTACACTTTTTTCTCATAAAATATATTACAGTTTTGGACACCATAATTTCCAAAACAAATGGACATTTTACCGTATACGGTATGGAAGTTTTTGATTTGCAAAATTGCATACCCAATACATAGAATACAACGTTAAAACATGGAGTTTTTCTCATCAGAAATTTGTAAGATTTTATTCAGTGACAATACTACATAAAACTACGTTAACTTCCTCCCAAATTGGCACCGTTAAAGTAGTTTTTAAATACATTTTTCTTGATATTTTCAAAATTTTTCGCTTAAAACGCAAATCAGTGGAGCCGCCGGGGACTAGTAAGTACTTTATTATTACACAGACTGCATGACTGGGGCCAGCATATTCATTTGACCACGACCAGTGGTCAATCATCAGCCATGGCGCTATAAGAATACATACCCTGTTCCAATAACAAAACTCGAACCAAAACAGCATCAATATAAGTGATAATAAGATCCAACTTAAAACAATAAGAACAAGCACAATACCAAGTAAAATTCATGTTAAACGTTAGCGATCAACGTAAACTGCAACTTCTGCACTAATGCACAGTATGTTCGTGATCCGTGTTTCGATTTATCGATGCGCAGTGTTTCATAGTAATTATTAAGTATTGAACACATGTAAGGGTTTAGTAAGTATTGCAACTATGACGATTTGCAAGCAAACGGAAGCAACAC